TATCTTCTATATATTTTTACTCCAATTCTATCGTTATGGTGGTTTGATTTTTTTTATCACGTAAATATAAAATTTATCCGAAGACGAGATCTGCAAAAAATCCCCTTCTGATTAATCTACAACAAAATTTGCGATCTTCAGTATGCATATTTGTCTCGAGGGTATGAATGATAGCAAAGCAAGTACCTTACAACCACATATCCACACCCTTACCGAATCCATAAAGAATAAATAGACAAATTTTCTTCTTTACTATTACAAGGCCCTTTAGTAGTTGAATTGATCGAGTGCGCGAAGAAGAATATTTTCGTTGTTCACTAACTAATTTTATTTAAAAAAAACTACCTATTCATACACATCCTCTCCAGACACATACAAGTGAAAGAGAGAAAGATGCGCAAAGGAATTAAGGAGAAGAAAGAGAGTGATCTAAGTGCATTCCTCTTACGTCTTGCCACAATACATAAAAACAAAGAAGATAATGTAATACATCTTCTTTCTAACTGTACAAGAAGTAAACAAAAATGTAGAGAAAAAAATAGTACGAATGTTGTTAGAGTGTTGTCTAACATCTATACATTAGATATTGAATAAGTTGATAGAAAAAGATCAAAAAAGTTAATTTAACAACAGCAAACCTTGGCACATGATCTTTTGACGGTGACAGTTTTCTTTCTGATGACTTTGCAACATGGTTTGCAGCAGCACACAGTTTTAGTTACACAACATTTTGGACCGCAGCAGCATGAACAACAGCATGGATCACAGCAGCAAGGATCACAGCAAGAGCAACAACAAGGATCACAGCATGAACTACAGCACGAACCACAACCACAACCGCAGCCGCAGCCGCAGCCACAACCACATCCACATCCACATCCACAACCGCAGCCTGGCATATTAATAGTAATAATGTAGTATAGAGTAAAACTGGAGTACGATGAGAACTGGTTTGTGAAACTATGAGAATAGGTGTGTGTATATATATAGAGATAGATAAATGAAAAAAGTTGTTTTTAAACAAAATGACAATACCTGACATGCACATATGATAGAGTAGTATATAAAAAGAAATAAGTAACGCTTTATTATTATTTATGCAATACAACAAAAATATAAAAGTCATGCTTATTACCAATGTCTCTCCTTTGACTTGTTTGACAGTGTCGAAAACATCTAAATTTAATTGCGCACTCATGTTGTGACTACAACTCTCAATGGTAAATATCATTTGATACACCTTTTAATGAAAACAGTACTAATCAAGAAAAATAAACTAAATGTTTTTGATGAAAAATATTGATTCTCACGTTCTAGTACATACACACACTGTAATATCATCAAATTACGTGAATAACATTACACAACGTAATACAAAAGAAAATATTGAGGAAAAAAATTTAGTACATGAATGCGATAACAATAATAACAGTGTTTTCATGTATCAGTTGTTTATAAATGAATTCTTTGCTGAAGCGAAAGTCTGCGATATATCTATCTTCATAGATTATAATGATATGAATGAAAGAACTCTGTAAAAAGAGATACGTATTGTATTTCATATATATGAGAATTAATCAGGCCAGTCATAAATATTAAGTTTAATGTAAATAGAACAAATTATGTTGGTTCTATTTGTAAATGATTAATGAATGGTAAGCATTCTATGAATTTGTCATGTTCAGAAATCTTATAATATTTTTAGTTATATGCAATTACGACTCGCTGGCCAATATTGATTGTTAACAATTATCTTGAGAGTGGATGTATCCTCTGTTAAAATCGACCACACCCACATCCTTATTGATAATAATAATCGTAAAACACCAACTCTCTAAGATTATATTCAGATTGCATATTTTTATGATTAGATTCAATTATATATTCTTAATAGTGACCAATTTCATGTAACAATTTTTTACACCTAGAGTGTGAGTATTCTTGTTCTATGATTTCTTTTTATCACAATGGTAAATCAAAAAAGCATAGTGACAAAAAAGAAAATTGCATTTGATCGATTTAATAGGGTTTGGGCGTCAATAAAGTATTACCCACAACCTCAACACATGTGAAAATATTTGATTTTCAAAATAGTATTTTATTTCTAAAATTACATTTATGAGAAAAAAAATTAATATGCACTTCAGAAATCTTCATTGTAGTTTGTCATCCTTTCAAAATACCATTAGCATTGTAAAGCTTCTTTAACAGCATGTAAAGCTTCTTTAACAGCATCTACTGCTAGACCATTAATTTCCAGTACGTGTACATCAGTGTTTTCCTTAACAATACTGTTAATTCGTTCAAACCAACCATCTTGAGTGCGAAGACCACCCCCAAGTATAATTACATCATGTTTTTTTTATTTTATGACATTGATTAATTCTGCATCACTCTCTGAGTTGTTAGACACGATAAAACCATGTGCTGATATTGATTTATCATCATTGAGACCAGCAGTCATTTTTGAATTTATTTCTGCATTAATTCCAACTATCAATAATCGAACGGGTGTGCTTGTAGTCGCCATTTTATATCAATGGACTTGTTACTTACACTTTTATACTAGAAAGAAAAAAGTGCTCTGTCATACTCATTATTTTTCTTCTACGTATTGCTCCATTAGTGACCACGTGTAAACAATATAAAAGTAATAAAAGGAGGAGAGGAGAAAAGTGCTCTGTCATGCCCACTGTTTTTTTTCTACCTACTACTGCAGTAGTAACCACGTGTTAATAACCATATGAAGGTAGTGAAAGGAATAAAGCACCTTGTTCCTTAAGTACGCACAGAAACACAGTAGATGTGCACATAGCTCTTACATCTAATGAAAAAAGTATTGCTGTCTATGTTGGCATTAAAATACAATATTTATTTAAGTAATCACACGTGTCGAACACGACTTCACCTTAACCAATGGATGCTCTTATCTGATTTTACAGATGAAATGCATGACATGCACGAATACCGCAGTTTGGACACCGTTTGTTAGAATACTAAACCTCTTTGCGACAATTTTATGTCTTTTGTTAAGAAATTTCGCATGGTTCAAGGGGAAATCGCAAAGACAAAAAAGTACTCTAAAAGTATTCAAAATAAAAAGAACAATTTAGTCGCCCATACTACACTCATTGGCAACTTCATTGTCAATCATTTGAATTAACATAAAAGTGCTGGTTTTATTTCTTTTTAGAATATTCACAACACAGCTCTGTTGCATGGAGTAAAAATCCAATGTGGTTTCATTGCAAGTGTCAGCTGTCACAAAAATCAGTTTATTGAGGGTTTGAGTGTGGATATTGTATTCACCTAAAACCCATACCCACACCCGCATGCACACCCAAAACTAGAGTTATACATCAAACGAAAAGAAATAATCAGAAAAGGGCAAACATAGTTACACTCATTAAACTAACTGAAAATATCTCTGCTTTGCTCATAAAACTTTTAATTATTCTTCTTTTAGATTATTGCGACGTGATTAAATAAAACAATTATATCCGACTCATTATTAGTGCTCTTTCATTTAAACTTTTTATCTCGAACAAAAATAGCATTTTACATATATATCAAACTTATTCTCAAAGTAACATGTCTTCGTCGGACGATTTTCTCACATCGTTACAATCAATACAGACAAATTTATTTCGAATCGGTGGTCCAATATTATTGGTACTTGGTGTTATCAGTTGTGTCATCAATCTGATTATTTTCACTCAGAAAAATCTACGTAAAAGTCCATGTTCCATCTATTTGATAGCAGTGAATATCGCTAATTTCTTATACATTACTTTATCAGTACTATTCATTACATTAGAAGTTGGCTATGGAATAGATCTAACTGACTCTAATCTGTTTATGTGCCGTTTTCATTATTACACAACGTATTTATTTGATATTCTTAGTGCATTTTATCTTATTTTAGCTTCAATTGATCGAGTTTTAGTCACATCACCAAGTGCTCGAACTCGACGAAAAAGCACTCGTCGTTTAGCTTATATTTGTATCGGTAGTGTAACATTATTTTGGATATTATTTCATTGTCATGCATTCATCTTAATGGATATTGAAGAAATAGCACCCGGTTATTTTACATGCTACTTTCGAACAGGTCTGTACGATATTCTCATGGGTTATTATTCATTGTTCGTCAGATCAATTATAGTGCCTTTGTTAATGATTATTTTTGCCATATGGACTACAAAAAACATTCGAAAAGTGCGTCAGCGACGTATTGCTCCTGTAACAACGAACACTGGAAATACAGTACGGAACTTCGAACATTCCTCTCGCTCCAAAGATCGACAATTTGTTCTAATGGTAGTTGTGGACATTTGTATTTACATAGCATGTAATGCAATGCTGACAGTTGTCGTTATATATTACCAAATCACACAGAATATCGGCTTACCACAGATCACTGTCTTTCTGAATTTGGTAGGATATTTTATTAGTAATATTTCATATTGTATTGGGTGTTATGCATATTTATATATATCGAAAACATTTCGAAAAGAAGTCAAACGTTTATTTTTTTGTCAATAAGTTAGATGTTTTCTTTTTTTTCTGTTGTTAAGTCTGTATAGTTATTTGGTGTATACTTCTTTGTTGTCTAAAATAAAAATGAAGTTATTCATAAGATTATATCTATCTTTATATGCAAATGGTTCAGGATGTAATGAATACTAACAAGTATTATTACTGAAACTTGTTCGTTTATTTATTCTTCGTCCATATTGATGATTTTTAGTGCTGATATTCGAAATAAATTAAATTCATGCTTTATTTCACCAATTTGGTATCTTTGGAACATGAGAATATCTACATATACACCCGCACCATATTTTAAGTTAAGAAAAATATATTCTTATATTTTTGAATCAAGGTGAATATAAGTAAATGAGTATGATTTTTAATACTATATTTATTTCACATACATACATAACAACATTTATTCTTCTAAGTGATGTTCTTATAGTTATATTAATGTCAAAGTTCATTTAAAAAGGATTAGCATTCAAAAGAATACGTTTTAATTCTGTACGGAAAGTTTTTGATACGATTAAATTTGTATAACAACTGATGCCATTATCGAAATAATACCAAAAGTATGTTAACTGTACAATTGATGATTCAATTATGTTTTGTTCCGCGCTTTTCTCTTTATTTAACGTAGTTTGTGTATAGACAAGAAAGATTGTAAGTGGACATTTAAAAGTGATGTAAGAAATAATATTCACAAATAACATTCGAATAAGTTGTTGATCTTTGGATCGAATAATACGTGGTCTACCAATTGTCATAGTTCTAGTATTTGTTAAACTATCAGGGTGTCTTCCACGATTAACTCCACGAATATTTCTCACTGTCCAAAGTCCAAGTATTCCCATCAACAAAGGTGGAAGAATTCCATTGACCAGGACCATATAGAAAGCCATAATTGTAGTGTATGTTCCTGGTTGATAATAACAAACAAAATAGCTTGGTCCATACTGTAGAATTTGCGTGAATATTAATGCATGAATATGAAACAGCAGCCAAAATACAGCTATACAAACTACACTCACACTAGCCAAACGACGTGTACTGAGTTTTCGTGTAGCAGCA